ATTAGAGATAAAGTACAATCCCAAACAAAATCCCAGCAGGTTTTCTACATGCACAAAACTGACTGTCTGGGGCTGGCGCTGTGGCATAGCAGGTAAAGCTGCTGCCTGCAGTCCCAGCATCCCACATGACTGCCAGTTCTAGTCCCAGCTGCTCCACTTCTGATCCAGCTCTCTGCCAAGTCCTGGGAAAGCAGAAGATGGACCCCTGCACCCACATGGGAGACTCAGAAGAAGTTCCTGGCTCCTGACTTCGGATGAGTGCAGCTCTGGCCACTGTGGCCATTTGGGAGAGAACCAGCAGACAGAAGACCTCTCTCTCTCTCTCCTGCCTCTGCCTCTCTGTAATTCTGCCTTTCAATTAAATAAATAAACCTTTTTTAAACAAAAATAGACTGACTCTCAAATTTTAAGGTAATGCAAAACTCAGATTAAGCAAGGCAATCTTTAAGAACAGATATAAGCTGCCGGCGCCGTGGCTCAATAGGCTAAATCCTCCACCTAGCGGCACCGGCACACCGGGTTCTAGTCCTGGTCGGGGCGCCGGATTCTGTCCCGGTTGCCCCTCTTCCAGGCCAGCTCTCTCTCTGCTATGGCCAGGGAGTGCAGTGGAGGATGGCCCAAGTGCTTGGGCCCTGCACCCCATGGGAGACCAGGAGAAGCACCTGGCTCCTGCCTTTGGATCAGCGCGGTGCGCCGGCCGCGGCGCGCTTTGGGGGGTGAACCAACAGCAAAGAAAGACCTTTCTCTGTCTCTCTCTTTCCTTGCCCTCTCTGCCTGTCTAACCCAGCCTGCCTAAAGAAAAAAAAAAAAAAAAAAAGGAACACTTATAAGCTAAAGGACTTATCAAAGACTTATCTATAAAACTACATTAAGATACTGTGCTATCAGTTTAATGATAACTGATAAAGCAATGGAACAGAATGGGATCCTGAAATGAACTTTAGGGCCACCTGGTTTATAATAAGGTTTGACTGCAGTTAGTGGGAGAAAGGATGATTCTTTCAATAGTTAGTTCAAGAAATTTTATAAAGAAATAGTATTTTACTAAATTAATAATTGTTTAATATTCCCTTTACAACAATGGCTTATCAATCTTTCTATATCAGTTTGTCAATGCATATTCTACAAGTATGTAAGAATCTATTATAGAAAAAGTTCTATGGAGCCAAACACATTTGGAAAGCAGTAAATATATGAGCTTAATTTTGCAGGACTTTTTCAGAGCCTTTAATGCACATCAAGTAAGTATCCAATTAAGTTCAGAAAATGACCCAACTTCAATCTCATATCATACATAAAATTGTCATAGTGGACCACATATGTAAATGTCAAAGGCAAAGGCAAAGTTTCCAGCAGAAAATCTAGAAAACAATCGTCATCATTTTGCAGTAGGAAAAGGTTTCTTAAACAGGATACAGCAGGTAATTTCCCAAAGAAAAGATAGAACAGATTTTACTCTATGTAGTGCATTAATGAGGTATAAATTATACCTCATTAAAAAGCAAAAAAGTAAAAACAAAATAGCATATCTAACCAAAAACTAACAAATAAGACAAAAATTATATAGATGATTTTTACTCAGATACAATTTGTTCTAGGATTTTTTTTTAAAAAAAAAGCTTTCTGATTTGAGAAAGGCAGATACTACACAAGACAGGAAAAAAAATGAAAGAATCTATTCATTTTTATATAATGATTGCCCCACACAGGGCTCTTATGAGACCAAAACAACAACAACAAAAATAAAATTTCAAAATTTCAAAAATAAATTATTTTCAAAAGAAAGATAATGAAGGGAGGGAGGGAAGAAGGGAAGAAATAAGAAAAGGAAGGAAAGAAGGAAGAAAAGCAAACATGGCATACAATCAGAAATGACTACTTTGGAAACAAACAAGCACATCATGTCATGCAGCAGTTAATAAACTCTGCTTTCACTGAAAACTGGTAAAGAAAGGGCAAAAGATCAACACTTATTCTGCTTTTCCTGCATAAACTGTATTTCAGGTAATTGAATAACTGATAAAGGAAAAGTTCTTCATAGCATTTCAACTAGCAAATGCAGAAAGAACGAAATAATCAGAAAAATCACAACTTTAAATCTCAAGGAAACAATGGATCTGGGCAACTATCAATGACTTTTTTATAAGAAACTATTGGTTGTCACCACTGGTTTATCTATGTATTTTTAAAGATTTCTTTATTTACTTGAGAGACAGAATTACACAGAGAGAGACAGAAAGAGAGGTCCTCCATCTGCTGGTTTACCCCCAAATGGTGGCAATGGCCAGTGCTGAGCTAAAGTCAGGAGCCAGGAGCTTCCTCTGGGTCTCCCACATGGGTGCAGGGGCCCAAGCACTTGGGCCATCCTCCACTGCTTTCCCAGGCCATTAGCAGGGAGCTGGATCAGAGTCAAGCAGCCAGGACTTGAACTAGTACCCAAATGAGATTCCAGCACCACCAGTGGATGCTTGACCCATTGTGCCACAGCACTGGCCCCTCAATAACTTATTTTTTAAAAAATAATTCTTGGGCTTTTTGACTAACATGTAAAAAGGTACACTTATGGGATATATTCATGTGATTTTTTTTTTTTTTTTTGACAGATAGAGATAGACAGTGAGAGAGACAGACAGAGAGAAAGGTCTTCCCTCCGTTGGTTCACCCTCCAAATGGCTGCCATGGCCTGCGCACTGCGTTGATCCAAAGCCAGGAGCCAGGTGCGTCCTCCTGGTCTCCCATGTGGGTGCAGGGCCCAAGGACTTGGGCCATTCTCCACTGCCTTCCCAGGTCATAGCAGAGAACTGGATTGGAAGTGGAGCAACCGGGAGTAGAACCAGTGCCCATATGGGATGCCGGCACTGCAGGTGGCAGCCCCACCCACTATGCCACAGTGCTGACCCCTCAATGAGTTTTTTCTTTTCTTTTTTCTTTTTTTTGACAGGCAGAGTTGGATAGCGAGAGAGAGAGACAGAGAGAAAGGTTTTCCTTTTGCCGTTGGTTCACCCTCCAATGGCCGCCACAGCTGGCGTGCTGCAGCCGGTGCACCGCGCTGATCCGAAGCCAGGAGCCAGGTGCTTCTCCTGGTCTCCCATGGGGTGCAGGGCCCAAGCACTTGGGCCATCCTCCACTGCACTCCCGGGCCACAGCAGAGAGCTGGCCTGGAAGAGGGGCAACCGGGACAGAATCTGGCGCCCCGACCGGGACTAGAACCTGGTGTGCCGGCACCGCTAGGTGGAGGATTAGCCTATTGAGCCGCGGCGCCGGCCAATGAGTTTTCTATGTTCACTTGTTAGCATTTCATTCTTTCAATCTGAAGAATTCCTTTTAGCCTATCTTATAAGTCTGATAGTGATAAAGTCTCTTAGCTTATGTTTGCCTAGGAATGTTTCTCTCTCCTTCATATCTGATGGATAGCTTTCCTGGAAAGAGTATTCCAGTTGACAGTTTTATTTTTTCCTTCACTACTGTGAAAGTCACATCCCACTGTCCCCTAACTTGTAAGGTTTCTGCTGAGAAGTCTAGTCAGGCAAGTTGGGCCACTGTTATAGGGTTGTTTCTTTTCTCTCATAGCTTTGAAAAACCTCTTTATCTTTAACCCTGTGCAGTCTTGGGAGGAAAGGGAGATGGATACCAGGCCTAACCAACAGTGTGGTGATACACATCAAAGTTTCTAAAACTGCCCTGCTTACCAGGGGTTGGATGTGAAGGTGTGACATGGGCAATTCTTTCCTTCCTGCTTTCTTCAATGTGTTTTTTCTTATTATGCTAAAACCAGGCACTGAAGTTGCTCACCTGGTTTCTTCACCTGTTCTGAGGGTGACATAATGCATGAACAGTTGTTCAATTGCCTCTGTGGGGGAAGAGGATCATTACAGTATCTTAGTCAGCTGACGCTTAGTCTTCTTGCAGTAACTGATTTTTTGAAACCATTAAGAGAAAAGGTGATGGGTGGATCAGGCTAACAGTATCTGAACTTACAGGTCAGTGTTAAATTAACAACACTAAACATGGGACATGGGACATAGGTGCTTTCTGACATGCAAGAGAAAGCAATGAATTACTTTTAGGTGTGTCTGTGAAACATGCATCTAATGAAGCCTCTCTAGCTCCAACTACAAGAAAATATTAGTACAGGAGATAGAAAAACATCACAGTATCACCAGGAAGCAATCAGCAAAACTCAATACATAGGAACATCTACACGACAAATTACTTGGTCTCTTCAACAAACAAATGCCATGGGAAGGAAAAGGAAGAGCAGAGAAAGAGGGGAACTGTTTTAAATTGAAAAGAACTTTAATAAACAGGATACCAAATGTTATAAGGATATCTGTGGATTCTGATTTGAACAAAACAACTACAGAAAGACGTTTTGGAATCAAGATTACCTTCCTGTATTTTAATTTTGACTTAAACGTTCCCAATGATTCCTTCTGTGAACTTTCTTATAGGGTCTCATTTTTTTGTTTGCTTTTTCTGCAGATTACATATAGAAACTGTATTTGCCTCAACTAATAGCTCTATAACATTGTTCCTTTTTCAACACTAGCTTACAGCAATGTTTCCTAAAATATTTCAGCAGGGATTAGAAAAATGTTACACAGCCAAATAAATTTGGGAAATGTTGAAGTACACTTTTTATGTAGGACTTTTCAGAATATTAATATTCTCAAGTGAAATGAACAGAAGAGCATCCAAAACAGCATTTTGGCCACAGTTATTTTTGCTATTTGAACACTTTTGTACAGGACATCTCATGGGATTAGTGTTATTTAGAACTAATTTTGAAAAATTAACTAAAATGTATTTATGTTTGCCATAGTTAAGTGTAGTTTGATTATCTTAATCTGATGATTTAAAAACGCAACAGAAGTACAAACTAAGCTATTTACCATATAAATGGTTTCTTATTTGTGGGGAAAAAGTACTGAAATATGTATCTAATAGAAACAACCTTTGAAAATGTGAAAAATTGCTAATACCAAATATTGTACACATACCTGGCAGAATTCACATGTAATTTGAATTTCATAAGTTAAGCAGCTTATCACGTCCTGTTTTTCATGGCAAGGATACTGAAAAATGAAGTGGTTTCACATTGTTAAAAACAGTTTTGAAACACTTTTTGAAACAATAGAAAGTAAAACATTCAAATTATTTTCTGTAATATTACTGTCATCCAAAAATCTAGTCACTATGAAGAACTTAAAAAAAAAAAAAGATTTATTTATTTGAAAGACAGAGCTACAGAGAGAGAGAGGGAGAGACACAGAAAGAGATCATCCATCTGGTTCACTTCCAAGATGGCCCTAATGACTGGAGCTAGGCCAAACCAAAGCCAAGGAGCCAAGAACGCCAATGGGTTTCCCACATGCGTGGCAGGGCCCCAACTCCTTGGGCCAGCTTTGGTTGCTTTCCCAGGTGCATTAGCAGAGAGCTGGACAGGAAGTGGAGCAGCCAGGACTCAAACTGGTGCTCATATGGATGCCAGTATCACAGTCAGTAGCTTAATCCACTATGCCACAACACCAGCCCCTAAGAATTTTTACAGAGTGAGTACTGCTTCTGCAACATAAACACCCAAAGAAGAGCCTGAAGTATAGTTACTAATACATCCAATTCCACAAAAGAGGTTTAAGAAAAAAACATTTAATTCAACCTTTAAGGTTCTGGTTGAAGGACAGTCATTCAACAAGTAAAAATCCTTCTGAAGCCTGATGAGCAAGATGAGTTCTAGTATTTCATAATTTACATTCAGAAAGCTTTTAAATTTTAAAAATATTCTCTTCAGCAGTCAGGTTCTCAGCCTAATTTATCAGAAATGTGCTTCTCTCATAATGTAGCTGAACTATACAGGCAGCTCTCACTTCCATAAATTTACAGCTTGCTTATTTAACTTAAAGATAAATCTGCATACAGCATACTAAAACTACATAGGCCAATAATCCATTTTTAAAAAACTATATCAGGCCTGTGCTCTGGTATAGCAGGTTAGGCCTCCACCTGAAGTGCCATTTGAGTGCCGCTTCGAGTACTGGTTGTTCCACTTCTGATCCAGAAGTGGAGGCAGGACTTGATCTCAGGCACTCTGATATGGAATGTGGGCTTCTCAGTGATGGCTTAACCTGCTGAGCCACCATACCCACCCCTCAAGAAACATATTAGAAACAAAGATGGAAAGGAACCCTGAAACACTAATAAACAGTACCTTCAGTCAAGAAATCTTCAGTCTAGCCAAAGGAGGAGAATATAGAAATACGATCTCAATTAATGTTGCAAGAATATAGAAATATAAGCATCAGGAGTATTAAAGCGGTGCAAGGACCAATCTGATTGTTCCAGGAAAGCTTCCTGAGGGAGTCAACCTTTGGTATCTATCTTTCTTTTCTACCATCATTACTACAACTGTCCCTCTCCCCAACAAAACAAGTTCCTTACTCTCACAAAGCTTACTTCCTAGCTAATCAATAGAAGTACCCATTTCCCTATATATATAGGTATAGTTACAGAGAGAGAGGCAGAGTTACAGAGAGATGGAAAAGATAGAGAGAAAGGCCTTCCATCTGCTGGTTTACTCTACAAATGGCCACAATGGCTGGAGCTGAGGTGATCTGAAGTCAGGAGCCAGGAGCTTCTTCTGGGTCTCCCATGTAGGGTTAGGGGCCCAAGCACTTGGGTCATCTTCTACTGCTTTCCCAGGCCATAGCAGAGAGCTGGATCAGAAGAAGAGCAACTGGGACTAGAAACCAGTGCCCAAATGGGATTCCAGTGCCACAAGTGGAGGCTTAGCCAACTACGCCACAGCATCAGCCTGATATTTTAATATCTAGCTGAGGTGACTGTAATTACTAACTTTTCACCACCCTGTGACGTAAGTCTGGGAAGCTTAAATGTTATCTCTGTCAATCTAATTCAATCTCAAGCTCTCAATCTAGACTTATCTCCCTTTTACAGCAAAGTTTGAAATATGCTTATATTGGAATCCTGCAAGGGAGTTTCTTGTTAAACGATAAATTGTTGAGGAAGTCAATGATTACAGAGAAAGAACTGTTGAGATTTCATTAAAATTTTCATGACAAGTTCATAATATCTTTTAATTTTATTTTCTATGAACTTTTTGAAACCCTCTCATTTCATACCACTGTTCTAGTAAGCATCAACAATCTGTACTCGTAGAAAACTCACTTTCATGAAGAGTATTCTGGTATGTTCTAAGTAAAGTTTAAAAGGAGTCAGCTTTCACTCTCCTTGCTCTCATGATGTGGTGCCATCAAAGTTCCTCCTTCTCTTCCATCAACAAACACTGGAGTATCTACTCCATGCTTGGCACTTTGCTTGATGCTGGGGATGTAGTGATGAATTAAAACAGATACCTGCCTTCACAGGACTTCCAGAACAGTGATAGGCTTATACTTGTCAAACATACAACTCTGATGTCTTTAACCTGTAATAAATTAAGAATAAAACCCCAAATTAAGTATAAAATTATCTCTAAATGCTTGAAGGACAAATCTGGTAATTTATTTAGTAAATTTTATCAGATTCAACCTTTTTAGGGGTTATATCCATACTTAAGAGATAAAAATCTGAATTACCCTTTCTTTTGAACCTTGCCTTCTTCTGGGTTCTACCTCCATTTAACAATATCATTCTCGGAAAATGACCTTCAATTTGCATATTCTCTTCACATTGTCTGAAATTTACCTTCCAAATGAGAGGCTGTCTTCACTGATATCATATTGTTACAGCCCAATTCAAATGACATTTCCTGTGTGATACTTTCCTCATAATCCAAAATGAAAATTTCTTCTATAAGCTTTCTGTGTTATGTTTTGCAAACAGTTCTCTTACTATTTTCAAAAATGCAATCTATTACATAATCTGTGTGCTTCTCCCACCCCAGCATGCTGCCTACCATTCCTTAAAGAATCACAACACAACAAGAGGAATATGAGCTTCTGGGTCAGAACTAGCTTGAAGCCTGGTTGTGACACTCATAAGCAGTCTTGTGCAAGTTTCTAAATGTCTTTGAGCTTCAGTTTCCTCTACAATAAAATAGGGGTAATATCACCTGCCTCACAAAGTTGTTGTAAGCAATAAAAGCAGTATATGTGTGGGGCAAGTATCTGGCACCATGTTTAAAAAGCTGCTTGGTGGGGCCAATGCTGTGTGTGGTACAGCAGGTTAAACCGCTGACTGCAGAGCCAGTATCCCATATAGATGCCAGTTCAAGTACCAGCTGCTCCACTTCCCATCCAGCTCCCTGCTAATGCACCTGGGAAAGCACAGGAAGATGCTCCAAGTATTTGGGTCCCTGCCACCATGTGGGAGAGTGGGAGACCAGAAGAAGCTCATGGCTCCTGACTTTGGTCTAGTCCAGCCCTGTCGCTCCCCGTCTTCGTGGGGGAACGACACTAAACCCTGCCTAGGCTTCATATCCGAGTCACGGCACCATTATGTCGCTCCCCCTCTTCGTGGAGGAACGACACAGGACCCTGCGCTGTTCTTTCGTCTGCTCGGCCCTCCCCGGGTTTGCTGCTGGTTCTTCCCGGGTTGGCTACTATCCCTTCCACCTCCGTGGAAGGGCAGTTCCCCCTGGCCACATTCCCCACTTCCGCAGGGGAGCGGCACTCCGCCGGCCGGCTCTCTCGGGGGCTGCACAGATGTTCCCCTTAGATGTTCCTGGTGCGTGCCGTCTCTCTCCTCCTTTATAGTCCTCCGCCAATCCCAACTCGGCTGCCCACACGCCGAGTACGCTGCTCTCCTCCAATCAGGAGCGAGTCCTACAGTTTATTGGCTGAACTGGAGGCACCTGTGTAGAAGCTGTTTTCTTCTCTCCCAGCGCCATATTGTGGGAGAGCAGATGCATAGAATAAGTCTTAATTCCAGTAACTCAGTCTAGTCCGGGTTGCTCCCCACACAGCCCTGGCCATTGCAGCCATTTGAGGAGTGAACCAGTAGATGGAAGATTTCTCTCTTAGTCTCTGTCTCTCCCTCTCTCTCTGTAACTCTGCATCTCAAATAAAATAAAATAAATCTTAAAAAAAAAAAAAAAAAGAACCCACTTGGTATTCTTGCATCTGAGTACTTGGTTTGAGTCCTAGCTCTGCTTTAATTTCAGCTTCCTGTTAATGTATGCCTGAAAGGCAGGAGATGAGAGCTCAAGTACTGGGTCTCTGTCATGCTCATAGAAGGCAGGGATACAGTTCCAGGCTCCTGGCTCTAGCGTGCCCTAGACTCAGCTGTTGCAGACATTTGAGGAATTAATCAGTAGGCAGAAGATATCATCATCTGTCTCTGTCTTTCCAATAAAATTTAAAAATACATCAAAAAATTTTCGAGACAGATAATTATTTAAAAAATAGTATATGTAAAGTCCTAGCAGACTGCTCGGCACAATAACATTATAAGGCTATTCTATTCATCCTTATATCTCCAAGTATCTTACTGCTAAGAGCAAGCACAAAGTAAATATTGGATTAACTGACAAGGAACTGCAACTGCTAATATTTACTTTCTAAAAAAAAAAAAAAATTTTATTTGTTTCAAAGTCAGAGTTACAGAGAGAAGGGGGAGGGAGGGAGAGGGGGAGAGAGGGAGGGAGGGAGAGAGAGAGAGAGAGAGAGATTGATCTTCCACCTGCTGGTTTACTCCCCAGATGGCTGCAACAGTCAAGTCTGTGCCAGGCTGAAGCCAGGAGTCATGAGCTTTTTCCAGGTCTCCCACATGAGAGGCAGGGTCCCTAGCACTAAGGCCATCCTCCGCTGCTTTTCCTAGGCCATTAGTAGGGAGCTGGATTGGAAGTGGAGCAGCCGGGACTTGAATCAGCACCCAAATAGGATGACAGCATCATAGGCAATGGCTTTATCCACTACGCCACAATGCTGGCCCCAATATTTACTTCTTTTAAAAAAAAATTTTTTTTTTCATTTGTTTGAAAGTCAGGATTACACAGAGAGAGGAGAGGGAAAGAGAAACAGAGAGAGAGGTCTTCCATCTGCTGGTTCACTCCCCAATTGGCCACAACGGCCGGAGCTGCACCAATCCAAAGCCAGGAGACAGGAGCTTCTTCCAGGTCTCCCACACGGGTGCAAGGGTCCAAGACTTGGGCCTTCTTCTACTGCTTTCCCAGGCTATAACAGAGAGCCGGATCGGAAGTGGAGCAGCTGGGACTTGAACTGGCGCTCACAGGGGATGCAGGTACTGCAGGCGGCAGCTCTACCCACTATGCCACAGCACCAGCATACCATATTTACTTATAGAAATACAAACTCTATTAAATTAAACATAAATAATATGTACTAGAGATGGCTTAGATGATCAAGGAAAATTGATCAAGCTACTGATCAATCATTACTGATATTTAAGCAGCGTTTATTTCCCAGAGTAGTACTAATTCAGAAAGACAGTTATTTATCCAAATTTAGGTATTGAAAATATTATAACAACATAATTTCAAATAAAAAGATTTCATAGCAATTACAGGTAATAATCATTCTATATTGAATACACATTATTAACATTTTTCTAAGTGATTTATGTATCTATATTTGGTCTCTTAAGAGCTCTATGAAGTGTGCTTTATTATTCCCAATTTACTGATGGAGAAATTGTAATAAGGATAGCTAAAGTATGACAATCTTACTTCAGAGCTAGTACTGTGCGATATTAACCAATACTACCACTAAGCTAAATTGCTGAATTTAATCATTTAAAGTAAAATGAAGATTTACACAAAATGTCCACAAGGAAAGCTAAAGTTAAAGTGCTTTATTGGTGTGTGAGCAAAACAAAAAATCAGAAGACAATCAAAAAATACTATATGATTCCATTTATCCAAAATTCTAGAAAATAAAAGCTAATGTATAGAAAGGCAACCAGGGGTTGCCTAGGGACAAGAATATGAGGAATTGGAGGGAAAGATTCCAAAGCCACTCTAATAAAGGCACTGTGATGTGGGATGCAGACATCCCAAGTAGTATCTTAACTGCTATGCCAAACCCTTGTCTCTAGGGAGTATTTTTGATTGGTTATCTAGTATTCTATCATATGGAAATGAGATATTTATTTAACCAGTTCTCTTATTAATAGACTTTTATTATTAATTACTATCTCTGGGACAATCTTCTTGCAGTATCTATAAAAACTGGGACAGGATGAATTTCTAGAAGTGAAACTGCTCCATGAAAGTGAAGGCATATTTGAAGGTTTTGATTTATATTCCCTGTGACTGGGTCCCCTGACATCTCCAATATTGTTACATGAGGTCCTCTTAAAAAAAAGAAAAAAGTAAACGTGAATTTATCTGAATGAGCTGTTATTTCCTAAGTACCAAATACCTGGAGAGGGCCTTGGGAAGGAGACTGAAGAAATAGTGCCTGAGCTACCTCTTCTCAAAGAAAGAGCAATCTGCCACTCCAGGATAACATTTCAGGAAGAGAAGATACCACTAGTGAGGCACAATTAAGCAGAGTACACTGAGTGATCCCTAAGAATTTCTGAAGGTTGATGCATGGGATATAAGGGAAGAGAGAGAAACAAATTTTGAAGGGGCTTTAATACCAGGGCAGGCCGGCGCCGCGGTTCAATAGGCTAATCCTCCGCCTAGCAGCGCCGGCACACCAAGTCCTAGTCCCGGTCGGGGCGCCGGATACTTTCCCAGCTGCCCCTCTTCCAGGCCAGCTCTCTGCTGTGGCCTGGGAGTGCAGTGGAGGATGGCCCAAGTCCTTGGGCCCTGCACCCCATGGGAGACCAGGAGAAGCACCTGGCTCCTGCCATCGGATCAGCGCGGTGCACCGGCCGCAGCACGCTGGCTGTGGCGGCCATTGGAGGGTGAACCAACGGCAAAAGGAAGACCTTTCTCTCTGTCTCTCTCTCTCTATCCACTCTGCCTGTCAAAATAAATACATACATACATACCAGGGCAAAAAGTTTAGATTCCACTCTCTCTCTCTCTTTTTTTTTTTTTTTTTTGGACAGGCAGAGTGGACAGAGAGAGTGACAGAGAGAAAGGTCTTCCTTTTGCCGTTGGTTCACCCTCCAATGGCCGCCGCGGCCGGCGCACCACGCTGATCCGATGGCAGGAGCCAGGTACTTATCCTGGTCTCCCATGGGGTGCAGGGCCCAAGCACTTGGGCCATCCTCCACTGCACTCCCTGGCCATAGCAGAGAGCTGGCCTGGAAGAAGGGCAACCGGGACAGAATCCGGCACCCGGACTGGGACTAGATCCCGGTGTGCCGGCGCCGCAAGGCGGAGGATTAGCCTAGTGAGCTGTGGCGCCGGCCCAGATTCCACTCTCACTCTCCCACCACCCAACCCTCTCTTCCCTCAGCCTCAGGATTATAAACTGTGGTTCTGGGCAAACTGCTAAGCTAAGAAAGTTTCTCATGGTTTTAAAAAATTACTGGTGAGGATGAAAGGCAAAGAAAAAATCCAACAGAGAC